TGCCATGGATTCTAAGCATTTGATCTAACAACCAATGCAGAAGCAACGATCTTTTGGTTAAACATGGACAAGCACAAATATTCAATTACTAAGGTGAACTGAGTACTAAATACATTAACAGTATTCTGGCAATTAGTGAGATCCAATTAACATACCTTCTTCTGCTTTATAGCAGCTCGAGCCTGGTACTTCCCTCTGTCCTCCCTCCCTGCTCTCACCAATGCCAATCTCTCCTCCTTGCTCATCCTTTTCTTCACGTGGACCTACATAGTAGACACTCAATTGGGTCAATGAAAATAAAGAAAAGGTACAACATGGCGTTTTTTAAGCTTTATAGTTTTCTTTTCCCTTGGATTTATAAAACGCCAAGGCCAGTAGAATAACTACAGGGATTTTTGAAGCAAATAATGCAGGTATAGGACTTATCAAGAATTCCAACGTTTCTAAAAACTTTTTGTCAATCTATTTATCTCTACTTAGGATGCATTATTTCTTATATGCAGAGACAGACTCCTCCGAGAGCAGCGTGACCAGTAAAATGATTTAAAACTTACTTCAAGCTTTGCTGGATCTACTCGCTTAATGCTCAGTTCATCCGAATTGGGAATCTTGAATGCTGGCGATTTGGAATCTGCACCCTTTTTCAACAATCCATGCTGAGTCAAAGCAAATCTGGCATCCTTCTTTGCCTGGCAAAATGAAGAATCAAATAATGGACACGGTCTTATGACATCTACAAGAGGTCAGAATGTAAAGATTAAGAGAGATTAAAAACATTAATTTTATTCATGTCCCAAGGTTAGAGGATTACAACATGTTTCACCTTCGGCATCAACTTAAGTTCGGCTCCAACCGAACAAATAAAAACAAACCTTTAATTCCTTAATCCTCTGGAAGTCCTCATTAGAAAGAAAACAATCTGTTGAGTCCAATGAAGTGTGCTCCATGTTCTCTTTGGCCAATCTTTTTAAAGCACGAAGACTTGCATCAGCATCAGTAAGTTGTTTATCAAAATCTGCAACCTTCCTCTTTTTTGCTTTGTTATCTTTTACTCCAGTTCCACTATCTTTGGCATCATTGTTGTTGGATTCATTCTCCTCATCCTCTTCGTCTTCATCATCCTCATCCTCTTCATCATCCTCATCACCACTGACATCACTGTCGTTGTCATCTATACTACCATCACTATCTACATCTTCAGCTACTACGGAATCCTCTTCACTTCCACTGTCACTGTTAGCTATATGGTTGTCTTCATCATCACTGGAAGCAACCATCTCATCGTGATCAAGATCATCATCAGTGCCGCTTAATGAAGCTTCATCAGCATCATCACCATCCTCATTGCCATCATCCTCTTCTAGCAGTTCAACACCAGGAACATTGCTGAGTACGTTGACTTCTCCATACGCTTTTGGTCTTGCCTTTGGGTTAGTAGGGCGCCCACGATCCTTCTTTATCAGCAGTGAGGGGCAAATCTGCACGTACACTAAATAGTCAGCCTTCCACTGCAACATGGTTCATGGAAATCCATGCATGCGAAATAAATAAATTGAGAAAGAGAGAGTGAGAGAGAACCTCTCTGAATAAACCAATAAGTGAACGGGCTGCTATTGAAACTGCTTTCTCATGTGATTTCTTATATAATGCAAGATCTTGCAGCAAATCTTCGGTCATCAACTAGATGCACAAAACAAAAAATAATTAAGGAAGCCTTCAAATAACCCATAATATTAGCAAGGCCAGAAACCAAATGGTGTAAATAGGTTGTTTTTTGGTCGAATGGTATAAATAGGTTGTTACCAAAGGAATTCGTAAACATAGTTCCCTCGTTACATTCAGTCCAACAGCTATGGCCTGGAAAAAGCAAGTGATCAGAGATATACACAAGGCATTAAAAAAAATATACTAAAACAGAGCAGCTAATGAAGCAACACCTCTGGACGTGAGCGATCATGTACAAATTGATTCACTAGTTGTTTGAAAAGTGGTTGTATTGCATCAGGAGGAACCTGCTCACAAGAAAGTAAATCAAAGTTAACTTTAAGAAAGGTTAATTCATCACTAGTAAATGAACAATGGTTCACTTGAATTAGCAGTAGGACTTTAAGAAAGTTAATAAAAGTTAGGACAGGAAAGAAAAAGTGATTCTGTCTAGGTCCCAATCAGACAATACAGAAAATCCAACTAACCATATCATGGCAGGCCTGAACTGCTGCAGCAAGTAAACTTGTGACATCACGTTGGTGAGGCTGTGATACCAATAGTCACAATTCAACTCTCAAGAGAACAATACATTACATTCAGTGAATGGGTCAAATAATGTACCTGAATATATTTCTGAAGGAAAGGATAAAAATTCAGCAAAATCAAGCGGTGAAGCCCAATTGTGCGAGCAATTACTTTCAACATCATCATCTTGACCTTAAGTGTAATGTCCAGCATCAATTCATTAGCAATTACTTTCAACATCATCATATAATCAAAACAAATAAAAATGCAATGTCCAGCATCAATTCATTAACAATGTAAACTAATTAGATAGAAACAAGACACAAAATTCTCGCATACGTAAGTGTTTGGCTCTACTCGTTGTTATGACATAATTGAGAGCCGAATGAATAAAAAATCCAAAATTAAAAGATCCAACACAGTTAGTATTCATTTGCTATGATAGTATTCCAATAATTGGGCAAGCAATATACAACTTTCTCCAAAAGACAAGTGTACATGTATGCTGTTCTTTGTTAATTCTACAAATGTAACTATTTACCTCAAATCGTTCATTGCAGGTTTGAAGGCGGGAGAATAGCTTCTCAGCAAATCCCTTCAGGAAGGATGAACTGTCAAACATCCTTCTTAATAAAGAGAAAGATTGACAAATATGAGCTAGATGATAAAATCAGACAAACCTGTGGATCTTTCAAATGATTAAGTGGCGTATGATAATTTGAATTACTTTTTTCTGATGACAGGCGTTGCTGTTTTTTCATACTACGCATGGCACGCTGTAGTTTTGCTTTCTTTTTCTTCTTGCTAGCAATTGTACCTTGATGGTGTGCCTAAAAGACAATGAAAAGAACACAGTTGATTGTACTTATGCGAGTTCTCATTAGAATTCAATCAAATGCCCCAAAATAGTGTAACTCAACCCTAGTGCCATCAACTAAACTGGTTGGAAATAACATTAAAGTAATAGTGCAAAACTGACCTTATAAATAGACTCTCTACTAAGGACTATTTGAGGTGTGTGAGGAGCTTCATCTTCGCTACTTGATGCATCACTATCATCATCTTCAAACTTCTCGTAATCCAGCAGAAATGAGAGGCAAGCAATCATTATCCTAACAAATTCAAACACAAATTGTAAGCTTTCACACACAACATTACAAATGACACAGAAACCACCCAAAAAAAAGCAATGCATACCTTGACGATGGATGAAAGCATGCAGTACAAATTGCATTGGCTGTTCTTTCATCGAACCACAACTTTCTCTGGTGAAGCTCTCGTAGCGTGATAAGCGCCCTCTTCGCTTTTGTTTCATCCTCTTGCTACAAAAGCAAAAAAAGGAAAATACAAGTTCAAGCACCAGACTAACAAAGCCCTGAAATTTTGACAAGAAAGAAAACGCATTAACAAACCCGAAGCATCTCAAACAAGACATTCTGAAGCGCCCGATTCTTTACTTCATTCTTATGTTTCTGATTCATTCTCTTAATGCTATGAACCACATGAGAATATGCCAGGTTTCTCAATGCCTTATTGCCAAAAGTCTGTAGCTCCATGAACAAAGCTAGATTGTCTCCCATATCCACCATCTACAAACACAACCAAAAAGGAAAAACTGGAATTAAGCAAGATAATTTTAGTATTTTGCACACTTTCTCAGCAACCAAACACAGCTCAACGCTAAAGTCCCAATATTTTCAACAAATTCTACAATTCACATCCGTTACATGCACCTTTCGATTCATGAGAAGAATGAGAGCTTGGGTGACGTGCAAGCAGAGCCCCGACGGAAGTGTTCGGGCGGAGGAGCGGAGAAATTCGGCGAGCTGAGCGGGGAAATGGGCCAGATGGGTCGGGTAAAAAGGGGTGACGTGAGCCAAGAACATGGCCCGATCGCCAAGGTCCTTCGCCACGGCCGGGTCATTCCTAATGCCGCTAACCGACTTGAACCCAAGATCCGCTTGTTGCTTGAAGAGCTCCAGCGACGACTTGAATTGATTATAGATCAGGTGAAGCTCCGACTCGTACCCTTCCGGGTCGCACTTCATCTTCGACTGAAGCGAAGGCAAGCTCAGCTTCTCGGAGCCCGAGGCTGAGAGTTGCTCGGGCGACATGCCGGTGAGGGTGCGGTGAGAATTCATTGTGGGGGTTTGGTGTTTAGAGACTAAACTGATAAACCTTAAACCCTATAAACTTTAGGGAATTTAGGCCGTGGTGAGTCGGATTGGACAAGACAGGATTGGATTGGGCTGGCTAGGATTGGACCAGAATTTTTGAGTCTGTTGTTTGGTGCTATACAAGATAAAGCCTTATTTGGGTAGCAATTGCAGAGTTTTGCCCTGCTTCTAACAAACCTGCAAATTCCCCAATAGGAATACAAGATAAATGAGCATAGAGTTAAATCATCACTTCATTTAAAAAGCCTGATAAATTCAGATGAAGCCTCAAATACTCAAATTCAGTGTAAGTCTGAATCTGATATCTATCTACAAAGCAAAAGAGAGACATCTATGGTATGGAATGGAGTGTAGCACAAGAGCTTTCAACAATGAGAACAGGCATAGAGTTTTATTTTTGTTGCATCACAAAATGAAATAGAAATTCTCAAACCATGAAATTCCCAAAACTGAAAAATCAATTACTCAATATGTAAAACAGCCATAGAGTTTTCAAACCAAAAATAATAAACTTGCCAATATAGCATAATTCCTTTATTTCAACTACATAGTATTATTGTAATGGAAATTTGCATAAACAAGATATGCAAACACAACTAACCCACACCCTTTGCCCTAGAAAACCCCAAATCAAAACCCAAAAAGATTCTGCAGAATATTTGTTAAAACTAACCTCAATGTTGTTGCAAATTGCAATACAACCAGCAAACTAAGTTAGACGATTGCACCACACACAACTCCCACCCAATTACCGGGAAGAAAGAAGTTGAAGAAAAAAAAGAGAATAGTGGGAAGAGAGCACGAACAGGAAGAAAAAAACAGACAGAAGAAGTATGGAAGCTCTGGAGTTCCCCAGCGCTGCATTGTAGTTATTGTTTGGGATTCTTATAGATTTATTTGTCCAGTCCAGCCCTAAGGAGTATGAAAGTTGAAGGCTTTCCCAGTAAAAGCACCATTTCAGCAATCAAACGCGGCTTTCAGAGTCAGGTTCTCTCTCTATCTCATACAAGTTACAACCATAGTCACACACAGGCACAATTGGAGCTAGTTTTCTCTTGCAAGTAATGGGTTGTATTGATTTTTGGATTTTATGGTTAGTTAAATATTGCTGCTCAGTTTTCATTCACATGATAATTGATTAATGTTTTGCCGCTCATGTCAGTGTGTTTCCAATGTCAAATTGGATGGTGAAGATTTTGTGTCAAAATTGCTTGATAGAAGATGGACATTACCCCACCCAGATGCCAAAATTCACCAAGTAATGCTCTCCACTAGCGAAGTATCACAACCAGGCAGAGCCTTCTCTGGTGTTTCCTTCTTCAACAAAATTAACCCATATTTTAGTCATGGTTTGATGGACAAGGACGATCGAGAACCTTCTTTCTTTATTGTGAGGGATGACCTGTTGCATCCGTTGATAAATGGTAATAAAGCTAGAAAATTGGATGGATTGATTCCCCTTGTCGAAGATCACTCAGTGACTCATGTGGTGAGATTATTATGATCCTTATTAGATTTAAATTGCATCTCGGAAATGCTTGTTACTTAACTAGAATGTAATCCCTTCATTTGGTCTCCATATTCTGGTGCTTTGTTATTGGATTCTAGATACTTTTAATAGCAAATTTCCTATTCTTTATTTGGCGAATTGCATTGCATATGCAAACTTGTGTTCCACTTTCAGGATTGTTAGTCGTTAAAACTGAGTTCCCTTGAAGACCAAATAACATTCAACTGATTTTTTTTTTTTTTTTAGGTCACATGTGGAGGTTGTCAAAGTGCACATGCGGCAGCTGTTGGTATGTAAATTCTCGCTGAAATTACTAGATGATACTCTCCGATATGCTCTCTCTCTCTCTCTCTCTCTCTTCTTTTGGTTTGGTGTAATAGTTCCTATGTGGTGACTTGTGTGTTTTGCAGCTGTTTCATGTTCAGAGAGAGGACTAAAATCAGATTTACTTCTACGAGGAGAGCAGCCTGAAATACTAACAGGCTATAACTTGATGTCAACAATATATGGAAACGTCACATATGTTCCAAGATCTCTTTATGCCAATAGGGAAAAGATGTTAAAGAGCCATGCTGATTATTTGGCAGGCAGCAGTGGTAATGTCATATGGTTTGATGATATTTTGGAGGCTTCTTTGAGTGAAAATTATGGTGCTATGAGCTTTTTGCAAAAGGATGCTTATAGAAGTGACCATCCTCGGAAAATCGTAATTGTTAACGAAGGTGCAGGAGATGTTGTAGCATTACTAGGTAACTTTACTGGATTTGGAATAAAGAATCATCTTTTTGGTTATGCTTCCATGTATACATATCTGCATCTCTTGTGTGTTCTTGTTTTCCATTGGGGGAGGGGGTTGTTATATAGTGGTTACATGTCAAGTAAGCACAATCTAGTTTTTGCACCCAATCCCCCAACATTCTTCCTTATGCTTCATATCTGTAATTCCACACATCTTTGAGGGCTTGGTGTTACTTTCTCCTAGTTTTTTTGGTGTTATTGATAGTGAAGTTCATATTGTCTTATTCGTAGGCCTGATTCGCCTAGTGCAGTACTTATCCCAGAATCACATACTTGGGAAAGAAAGGCCCTTGAAGCTTGTTGTAGATGCTGGAACTGGGACAACAGCTGTTGGTTTAGGACTTGGAGCCAAATGTTTGGGGTGTGTTCTTGTATCTAATATTTTTCATGTGTGTTGAGATGATCATCTAAATAACTGCAGTGATGCAGACTATTTTCTGTTGCGGCATTTTAAATATTGTTATTGCCTCCTGTCAGGCTCCCATGGGAGGTAACTGCAGTGATGCTGGCTGATACAATTGATGGGTATAGACGTCAAGAGAAGCGTTTGATTTCCGATTTCAAGAGGCATTTTGGTCTACAAATTCACCACTGCTTTGATGAAATAGATAGAGGACTTGTGCACTGGGTAGAACGTTGCCATCCAAGAAAGTGAGTAGGCTGTCATAATCTTCACAACTTCTGCAATGTTTCAATTGTATATTAATCTTTATAAAATATAAAATCATAAACGATTTGTATTAATTCATGCAAGCAAATGCCAGATTCTATGTATACAACTCTTCATATGTAGTTCACCATTATTTAAAATATGTATAATTCAAGCCCGCCCCTAATTTCGCAGGTTTGGCAATGTTTTAGAAGGGGAGGTAGAGGCATGTCAACACATTGCACAACAAACTGGTATATTAGTGGATCCAGTGTATACACTTGCTGCGTGGGAGATGTCAACGGTCCTTCGTGAACAGGAAGCAGAAGGAGGTGCAACAGTGGTGATGCTTCACACTGGAGGCACTCTAGGCATGTTTGGATTAGCACAGAGATACAAATCTTACTTCTCTAACCTCAAAGCTGGGCTTTCCAACTAAACAGGTAGCTGAGTTCACTGGATTCATTTGAACAGTTCAAATTCATACCTTTGTATCTCCATTCAACTTTCAATTGATTTTGAGAAGTTGTAGTGAAATATTCTTAAAGGTCACTTGTCAAGGTGTTTTGAGCAGTGACTGAGCGTTAGCTTTGGTCTCAAGGGATGATTGTGTATGGGCCGGGCTAGAGATCATACCCAGACCAGAAATACAAACTACAGAAATACCTGTTTAACAAGCTACAGAAATACCTGTTTAACAAACTACAATACAAACCCAGACCATGGCCCAAAAGCATGAATTGGGCTTCTGAAATTCTTGGTAGATCTTACCTCTTGCTCATGCTTATTTGCTTGTTGCATGTGCCATTCCACAACAAGGCACAAAGTCATGGCTCTCTGTCTCTCTCTGGGACTGTAAATCTGGGCGGTAGAAAAGTACTTCTTCTTTCCACATTGGGCTGCTTACCGGGATTAATTTTATCAATGAACATTCTTGATCATGGTGTTAATGTTATAATAAACTAAATTAACATATAAAAAAAGCTACCTAGAATCTCTTACCCAAATAAGAAAAACACTAGGAAAGGAACCCTCCTCCCAACGCATGTATGTATAATTATAACTTGTGTATGTATGAATATGTATATTTGCCTACGTGGCAGTTGCAAAACGATTCGCCACAGTTGCAGGACACGACATGGTCCGCAATGCGCACACGCTCTCCAAGATTCTACTTGGTTTTTTTGGTCTTTGAATAATTGTGTAGTTTATATTTAGTATTTTTACACACCAACCAGAAAGAAACCACTAGCACTAAAGTTTGTGTGTTTTGTGGTGGGCTGGTGGCAAACCAAAGCCACGAACAAGAGCAGGCAACATTCCTGGTACCAAGGGGAAAGCAAAACTTGATGGTCTCCTGGACTTCTTGTCTCTCCCAAAATTCTCCACCCACTTATAAATGTAGAGCCAAATTACTTGGCCAATCAAAGTGGGGATGCTTTCTAAGAGTTCTTTTCTCAAATAGTTACTCGTATGTTAACAGGCGACTACTAACCGTTGATGCAAAATGAGAATGTTCGTGGCATTTTTACGGGGTTTTATTACATTCAACCTTATCCATAGTGATGACCTTTCTTTATATTTACACTGCTTTTGGTATGGACTAAAGAATTGAGTTACAAACAAGCATAGCAGAGCAGCATAGGGAATGTCTCCATGTGTGTTGCCTGCTGGCTTGGAAACTTTTTCACCATACTTTGATAGGAAGTAGCCTCCTTAAACAAAAACATAAAAAAATAAAAAGGGGAAACATCCCTTTCACTTACTTTTTGTGGGCGTGGAAAAGGGTTCTTGATATAATGCAGGAGAGAGAGTATGGTGACCCACGAATTATGTGAAGCAAATGGGGGACACAGTAACATAACTAGTTAGCCACTATTTATAAAATAATTAGGAACTAAACGTGACCAATATAAAGCATGTTCTTAAACATATTCGAGCACTAGTAGTAACAAAGATGGTGGATTTATCTTGAAGTAATTCTATGGCATTTGCTTTAGAAACATCGACATTTTGTAATTGTCATGTTCGTGTCAAATATGTGTGGGAATTATTCACTTATGTAGAAGACAGTTATCCTAATTATCGTTAATAATATAATCTAACCTTAATTACATTGGAAATCCTCCTTCCACATTGTTATTAAAAAATGGTAAAGAAAATGTCCATTTCATTTGTGCGGGAGACATTAATATATGTAACATACTGTAATTTACCACACTCAAAAACATTGGGGAGGAGTAAAGTAAATAATGCAGATAGACCATAACGAGGAGGGGCGTGGTAAATACATAAAGGGAGATTCATTATTATACCAAATATAAGGGCCCAAATTATTATAATAATAAATAAATAAAAACTCTACATGAAATGGACTTTAAAAACACACCAAAGCTTATTTACAATATAACAAAGAAGCTTCGATCTTCCTATAAATTACAAAACTGTTATTGATTTTATTAAAACAAATCCAACCTCAAAACCTCATAAAAAAATTCCAAAACACTCAATAAGACATTAAAGTAATTTAATAATAAAAATTAAATTCGATATAGTCAACTATATTTTATGAGTTTTTTTGGGATATCGAAATGTTTGAATTGTGCCACGCAAAATATTGTAGCTTTCTGGCCCAAAAAAAATAATATAGTAGCTTGGATGCAACATGCATGTCTTATATTTAAGACAAATATAACACTAGCATAGCAGAGAGTGGAAAAAGTGGATGGGGGGAGACGAGACAAGAGCATGCAAAGTATCGAAGACAAGACATATATGCATATATTAATTTGTAAAATTGTTTGGTTTGGCTAAGAATAATAATGTGGTCGTGACGGCATTGGAAGAAGTCTCATGTTGGAGTTGGACCCCTATATACTGGAAACTCCGGCGCACGTGTGCCACTCTTAACTCATGCTGCATTTGCAGTTTTTTTTGTTTTTCATTTTTAAATTCCGTCATATTAGATTCATGTCTCGAAAGTAAAGAAAGCAATTTTGGTGGAAGTAATTCGAAATTTGAGCTCGTGTGGGTGGATTAACTAAGAATTGGTGAATGATATTATATCTTCATTGAATTAAATAAGATAAATATGATACAGTTGTAGACGTGAATTAGGACAGTTGGTTATGTAATGGTAGTGAGCTCACATGTTTATACTCAAGCTCAAAAGATTTGAAATTTACTGAACTACCGATGGTGTTTGTTTGACAAATATTGAAACTTAATTAAACTCCGAAACAGGTGGTTAAATTGAGTTGTGTTATGGATTATCCCAAGCACCTTCCATGCAGCCCTGAACCAACCATGATTAAACTCCTTTTAAACCTACAAATTAATAATTAGATTGGCAATGCCAACAAGAAGAAGCAGCAGACATTCTTGGAGGAAGCAAGCAAAGCTTTCCCTGTTTCCCATATTGCATGGATGCACTTGCAGGACCATATGCTATTATTCTCTCTCATTGTTTGACTCACAAAATCAAATCAATTCCTTTGTTTAAAAAAAATAAAAAAAAACCAAACATAAATCCCCATAAAAATGTGCATATGTGACATGTGAATAGTAAGAAAACTTTTTCAGATAGTCCTCCTATTGCCTTCCTTTATTGATTTCTACCCATGAAGGATAATAATGTGTAGAATGAAAACCCAAATCTACATGTGAGATGAAGGACATTTTATTATTTTCTTCTCTAAATATATAATAAACAAAATAAATAAAGCAAAGCATTGTGATTAGTCAAAACAGGCACGATAAAAAGTACCATGCAGCAGAGCAATAATTACGGTCCGGTTTTGGCAAAATGTCCTTTTTGTGCACAACTTATTTACTTGTACCTTTACCTCCCTCTCTAGTCTTAGGCTCCCTTCCCATCCCCTTCAATCGCGCATCATCAAACACTACATTCGTCCAATCAGCCACGTGTACGGCCCGCATCCATTCTCATCCTTACCCAACGTAAATTATCCCATCACAATCCCAACATTAGTAGTTCTTTCAATTGATGAGTATTAGATTCCGCTTTCTTATTGAAGTTGTTTACTAAACTATATGGATTGAGGATAGTTAGATTTTGTATTCCTATTGGAGTTGTTTACTAAATTATATGAAATTGGAGTAGGAGTGGTATTAATTACTAAAATGTCATTGTTGTTGGATTAAAATAGATGACGAATTTGAAAATTTGAAAATTATATGAGGATATAATGGGTTAAAAAAATATGAATTCCTAATGGGTTAGTTCTCTATGAATTAGAATACCACTTCCCACCTAAGAATTTAATTCCTCCAAAATCAGGAATTCAATTTCTAATTTTTTGTGGGCTCCAAATATTTTTAATTTCTTGATGTGAAGTAAACACAAGAATTCTTTATAGTTGGAATTCAATTTTCAATGAGAATTCCAATTCTTTATCAGTAAACACACCATTAATAACACTGGGGTAGTATTGTAATTTCTCCGACTTGTTTAGATGGCAAAATTACATTTTTAGCAACTTTGGTTTGAAAAAGAAAGTAGTGGAAAAGGAAAAAAGCCAAGCGAAAACCCATCTGTGCTGTTATGCCTGCTTTTTCTACTATGCGTAGCTACAATTAAAATCACAGTACAGGCCAGGCCATTTTCCACACAGAAGACTCAAACAGAGAGACAGAAATACAGAAAGACAGAGAGAGAAAGCTGGAGAGAGAGAGAGAGAGAGAGCGAGAGCAAGAGAGAGAGAGAGCGAGAGCGAGAGAGAGAGAGAGGTGTACTGTATTACTCGGGAAGATGAGCCATGAATTTGACCAGTGCCTGAAAACCAACTAATCCTCTCACTCTTCACTTCACCGGAAAACCACTTGTTTCCTTATTTACACTTACCCCAAGTGGTTTTCCGACTAGCGAAATCCCCCCAACATGGCAGAAACCGGTCTTGTCCGGTTTCCGGGAAGCCTAGACCCGGGAGCCCAAGAGTTCATACCCAGAAACCCGAACCAACTAACCCTCTTCGGGCCTCCTCCACCGCAACCGCTACCACCGCCTCCGCACCAAGTTTTCTATCCGTACCCGCCAATCAGCGAAGTCGTACCGTACGCGCAGTACGCTGAGAAACCGGCGTATGCTAGTGCCGC